TTTTAATTACAGTAGCCTTGTAGTGTAGTTTGAAGTCAGGTAGCATGATGCCTCTAGCTTTCTTCTTTTTGCTTAGGATTGCCTTGGCTATGCATGCTCTCTTTTGGTTCCATATGAAGTTTAAAGTGTTTTTTTCAGTTCTGTGAACCTGGTACCTTGGTTGGAGATGCGAGATCGCTCACTTTCTGTGTCTCACTCACTGGGAGCTGTGCACTGGAGCTGTGTCTGTTCATCCATCTTGGTGGAATCCCCTGGTGACCAATCCATTCTCACCACTTCTATTCAACATAGTACTGGACATCCTAGCTAGAGCAAGCAGGCAAGAGAGAAATAAAGTGCATTCAAATCTGTAAACTGAAAGTGAAACTGTTGCTGTTTGGTGACAATATGATTGTATGCCTTGAAAGCCCTAAATACTCCTCAAAAAAAGCTCCTAGAAGTGATAAATGAATTCAAATGTTTTAGAATACAAAATTAATGTACACAAATCAGTAGCTCTCCTATACACCAACAGTAAACAAACTGAGAATCAAATGATGAACTCAGCCTTTTTTACCATAGCTACATAAAACAAACAAATTTTGAAAACTAGGAATATCCTTAACTAAGGTGAAAGACCTCTAAAAGGAAAACTACAAAATACTACTGACAGCTTATTTCTTTTTAACACTGAATAACATTTCGTTTTCCAGATGTACCACAGTTTATTTATCTACCTACAGAAGGACATCTTGGTTGCTTCTAAGTTTTGGCAATTATGAATAAAATTGCCATAAAACTGTGTGCAGGTTTTTGTGTGGGCATAATTTTTCCTTTGGGTAAGTACAAAGGACTAAAATTGCTGGATTATGCAGTAAAAGTATGGTAAGTTTAGTAAGAAACTACCACACTGTTTTCCGAAGTGGCTGTACCACTTTGCATTCCCATCAGCAATGAATGAGAGTTCCTGCTGCTCCACATTGTCACCGGCATCTGGTGTTCTCAGTGTTCTGAATTTTAACCATTCTACTGGGTTAATGGTTTCTCCTTGTTGTTTTAAATTACTTATTATTTTTTACATCCAAGTTCTTATCTACAAAATGCAGATGCTAACGCCTACTTCAGAGAATTCTTGTGAAAATTTACAAATGTGGCAATTCATGGAAATAACACAGTATCTGATATGCTTAAGCACTCTTTATATATAGCTATAATTCCTGAATTGGGAAGTAGGGTAGGTAGGTAAATCTCATGTCTACATATGAAACTAGAAAAATATATTATTTTTTTCTAAATCACTGATTTAGAAAAATGGCCTGTTGTATGGGAAGAGAATCATCTTTAATCAAATCTGCCCAAATGACTAATGCTAGACATTTACATTCTAAGTCATTCTGCAGCCAGGTTAAGAAATAATGCCTGTAGCATAGATAACCCCTCATAAAGATGCTTATATAACCTTCCCAGTAGCCATAAGTTTTGCAAGAAAGTCAGAGGCATGCCCAGATGCACATGTTTTACCCTAAAAGCTTGCTATATAAAGGATACTTTCTGGAAGGCAGGTGCAAAGATCCAGTGTCTCTTGGCCACCTGAGAATTGGTTTCTGTCCTTAAGTCCCTATTAAATGTTTCTTCCTGCAAAACTGAATTTGTCAGCCTCTTTCTTTCACCTCTCAGCCAAGGCCTTTAGGGGAAGATTTGCACATAATTGCCCACTGTGGAACAACCAACCTGACCTCTAGCCTGTGAGCAGATGTATAAATAAAAATGCTACATTGGCACCTGACCTTGGATTGTATGACTGACAACAAATACTCTTTGAATTTTATCTAACATTTTGAACCAATAATATTGAATAGCAGAAATGAAATACACTTGTTGATACCATTAACATTTCTTAAAAGTATTGCCTTCTTTGGGTGAAATGGAAATGTAGCATTTGCAAAACTGTTGATGAATTTGTGTTTAGTGGTTAAATCTACACTACAAATGATTTAATTCAGGGCATGGTAGAGTGTACTGTTGGTTTCTGAATGATGGTGTTAGTTATGGTCTGAGCATAAGTTAAATCATTTTGTAGTTTATTTGTTTGAAATTAGAGCTTTCCTCTTACCCAATGTCTCTAGGGAAAATGTTTGCATTATGAACTCTTTAAGTACACCAGAATTGTCATCCCTAATGCTGCCTTGGCTTCCTGAAGAAGCAGTTCTGGATACATAACTTCATCAGAACAGCACAGAATTTGTTGCATTCCACTGATTTAAAAAACTATGTTTTAGACTCTACTCTCAAGGGCAGGTCTCTTATTTTTGTTTGACTCACAGATTTCATCTACAAAGAAGAAAATATAAAGAATGATAGTGTCTTTCAATTTGTCATGCTCAGTAACACTTGCACTGAAGGATTTATAAAACAGAATCTAGCACATAATAAATCTTTTTTTTCTGAAGACTTACAAGATATCTCACTCTTGAGAGTTAATATGGAACTGGAACTACTCTAAGTAAAATAGGAATCCAACTTTATTATGTGTGTTATTTATTAACATCAAATTAATTCTGGCCACCAACTATTTTGCCCTTTCCTCCTGTAGATGGATAAGATTCTATTTAGATTCAAATAATTTTTTTCCATGTTCTTTTTATTTATCCTGAAACAGATCAGAAAATCAAATAGGTCAGATTTTTTGTTACTTATTTATTGCACAATTATTCAATATGTAGACTCATAGGACTTTGTTAACTACATTATAGGATTCAATTTAGAACCAGAAGAGAATATTGTAACAAAATGCACTGAGTTTCCCATGGTATTCAAATACACACATGTGAAAAGCAAATTAAATAAGTAGTCAAAGTAAAATGAGCACAGACAATGGTATTCCAGGTATACATGCAATATTTTCTTTTTCTTCCTCCACCAATCCTGATAAGCTAGTTAAAATGATGACTGAATTTTTAGATTTCTACATGATTACAGTTACCATCAAAGACAGCCTTTATATTAATGTTCATTGGATTTGCGTCTTTGAGAGACAGCCAAATCTGAAAGATCACGTTTAAGAAATTCTAAGCTACTGGTGACTCCACAGTGACTTTTGGAAGTGTCCTTAGAAAGAGTTTCATTTCATTATCTGGGGTTTTCATAAATTTGAGATTCAAAACATGTGTGTGTGTGTGTGTATGTCTGTGTGTGTGTGTGTGTATGTGTGTGTGTGTGTGTGTGTGTGTGCTAGGGGTAGAAAGACAGTGATCCTTTCTCTATTCCATGTCTCAAAAAGAACTGAATTTAGATTTTTAAACATCCCTCCCCTGCAGTATACATGATTTTGAATTGCTTTCTTTTTATGGTATATTCTCCCTTTAAAAGCTATCCTCAGTTTGAAAATAGAAAGTGCACCTATAATGTGTTGAAGGCGGGAAGAACCTCATGATTTTTCCTGGGTTCTACATCCATAAAGAGTGCTTGAAAATGGACATTTGAGCTCCTGTTAAGAGAGTGAAAAACAGGCAAGACTTGGTAAACAGTTTTGCTGGGGAGCCATGATTTTAAAGGGCCGTCTTTTTGCAAGTCAAGGCTTTTGAGACATTTGTTTTCTCCTGCATACTTCAGCCTCCTCCTAGTTAAATTGAACTTTTAAGCCATTTTAGCATACCATGTCTTTCCATAATGTTGAAGTTAGACACGACACAAAAGGTTTATTCCTGGCTGCTAAGGAATAACAAGTCTTCAATACTGGGAACTCCCTGTGGCTGCTTGCCTACAGCATTCAGGGGAAGGAAGGCCAGAAGCCAGCCTACAGAATACACCCCAGCTGTCCCTCTGTGGTCGTCTCACTAATAAACCACTCGAGTTAGAAAGCACACAAGCCAGTGGAGAATGAACCATATGTGATGATGGAACAATTTGAATGAAGTACTTCATTGATTTGACCTGGTGGCTTATCAAGACACTTTTGCCCAGATTCAATACATGAGATTCTCCCCTCAAAATATTTGCTCAATGTTTAGACTTATTTAAATGTATTTGAAGTTTCCTGCTTGGAGACCAAATTTCATGTATTTAAATACCTTCAACCTCTGGTTAACTAATGGTACATACAAACAAAAAGTTTAGCCTATCAAATTATATCACATGTATTTATTGAATCATTAAGAAGAATTGCAAAAGCCCAGACATGCAGACCCTAGTAAAATGTCTGTCTTTCTTTGTTCTAGAACTTGTATTCTTAGTCCAGCTGTTTAATAAATTGCAATCACCTAAACACATGCTCCTAAATCAAATCTCGGATGTCAGAAAGAGCACTGAACCATCACCGGTTTCTGTTTTTTGGAGATGCCAAGTCATAATATGCTTTTAAAGGTATGTCTAGTGAATATGTGTTTTTTCAAATCTCCTTTCACCTTAACATGTGTTAACAAAGCAAGCATCATTGTGGCAATCATTCTATAAATCGTATGCGTTCACTCTTTGCTGAACATTGAAGAAAGCCTGAGAATATGAAAAGCAATGCATTTGTTGCCTGGTTCACAAGAGGCCACCTCTCTTTGAGAAAACCAAATAGTAAGTCACCAAAAATTAAGTAACGGAGACTGAGATAGCGACCATATGTTTAAGGAGGTTTTGTAAAGAAGCTTTCCATTCTTCGGTGGTTTCAAATTAGTGTCCTAGATTTGACCTTCGTCAATTGTGCTTCTCAGCTTCCCGGCTTTGATTCTTGTAAAGCACATGTTGCTTTGAATTACTCTTTCCTTACAGTAAAGATACTTGAGTCTGACAGCAAGATTGTTTACATTAATGAAAACTTGGATTTAACCAATATGTCCAAAAATATATTACTAATAGAACATTATGGAGCATCTATCCAAAATTATATTATGTAGCTCTTAAATTTACTTTGTATCTCTATGTTTGATGATGTAAAGAATGTTAAGATATCAAGTGAAAAAAGCAGGTTATAGAATTTTGGCAAAGCTATTATACAAATAAAATGTTTTTTCTACATAGTTTGGATGTTCTTACATCAGAATTTTTGCTGGGCTGAATTTAGACCTTCTGAGAGGTCATGCGGCCATTCTCCTCTGCCTAATCCTCTACTGCGGAGGGGTTCCCCATCAAAAGGGATCTAAGTGACCTTCCCCTTCACAGTCAAGGGAAGTTTCTGTCTTCTCGGGGAAGGGAAAGAAGAGAAATCTGGGTATGGCAAACTGAGTCGGTGAGATTCAATTTCTATTTCCCTGGAAAAGAAAAATTGAAACAATTTTTTATTCTCTCTGATATCTTTACAGTGGTGAAAATTAAGAAGAAAATGTCACTAAGTTTTCCCGCCACATTATAAATGCACAAGTGGATTACAATGTGCAAAAATTGAATGTCTGGAAGGCTATATACATCAAAATTAGTCTAGAATATCATTACGCTTTTTGTTTTCCCCTTCTTAAGAAAATATTTGTCTTAACTGTTTTTTAAATATGTGTTTTATAGTAAATACATATTGCTTTGTAATAACAAAATGAATTTAGATAGTAAAGTCTTATCTTGTGCATCTTAAAATTATTTAAAAATATTTCATAAGGGATAGTTTTTAAAAAATGTTTTTTAATCTATACAATGACACTGTAATGCAAGTGTATATTTTTCATGTACTCATGTGGAAACCATGTAATAAGGGGCTAAAGACATGTCCCAAGTCATAATAAATGAGTAGACGGCAGAATGAGAATTTGGAGTGTCACCTTCTCAACATAAGTATTCTGATTTCGCTTAACAATTAGATTTTAAATAAAAATGCTAATTTGAAGAATTTGTTCTTGGCTATTTTAAACTTGTAGGATGCTTCTACAAGAGCATCACTTTTCTTTCTTGTGGATCCACTGAAAACTGCTTTTGCTGCTGTAGATGTGGTGGAAATGAGGAAGCAGAAGAAGGTAAGGAATTTTTTAAAAAAGTACTGGATTTGTTTTATATTGGTGCTATGACAAATTATCATAAATTTAGCAGCTTACAGCCAATCAGATCTATTACTTCACACTTCTGTAGGTCAGGAACTGGTGGCTAGTTCTGCTCTAGCTTCCCCAAGGTCAAAATCAAGGTTCTGGCCAGCCTGGGATTTTGCCAGAAGGCTTTGGGAGACAATCTGTTTCCAGAATGATTTACGCTGTTGGCAGAATTTGCTACTATGTGGTTATAGGACTTAAATCCCAGTTATCTTGCTGGCAGTTGGCTGGGGGTCATTCTTAGTTTTTAGAGGCCGACTGCATTTCCCTTTGGTCTCTTTAACTCATTTTCTTTTCTGCCACATCTCTTCTCTGACCCCAGTTGGAGAAAGTTCTCTGCTTTAAACGAATCAAGTGATTAGACTGGGCTCACCTGGATAATACAGGATGCTATCCCTCTTTTATGATCAATAACCTCAATTACATCTGCAAAATCTTGAACAGTATCTTAAGCGTTTGATTGAATAAGCAGAAGACAGGTTATTTGGGCAACATCTTCGGAATTCTGCCACCACTAGCTTTTTTCTTTCTTTTACTCAAAACTTGAGGATAGAAACATTCACACTCTTTTCAAAGGCTAATATGGTATTATTAACCTTCAATGCTTATGCCTAAACATCTGAAACATATCAGATATTCATAAATATATTTCCCCAAAAATCTGCAACTTGAATAAGTTTTGTTTGTAGATACTCAAAAAAGCAAATTTTAAAAAATAATTTCAACTTTTATTTTAGATTCAAGATACTTAGATTTCATAAGCATCCTTTATGAAATATTTTTAAATAATTTTAAGATACCAAAGATAAGACTTTATTATCTAAATTCATTTTTTCAATATGTTTTGTCTGTAGATACTTCAAAAAACAAATTTTAAAAAGTAATCTCAACTTTTATTTTAGATTCAACTTTTATTTTAGATTCAACAACCTATGCAGGGTTGTTACATGGGTATATTGTGTGATGCTGAGGTTTGGGATACAAATGATTTTGTGATGCTTGTAGTGAGCATAATACGCAACTATTAGTTTTTCAAACTTTGTGCATCTTACCCTCCCACGACTAGTAATTACCAGTGTCTATTGTTGCCATTTTTATGTCCATGAGTATTTAATGTTTAGCTCTCTCTTGAAAGTGAGAATGTACAGTGTTTGGTTTTCTGTTTTTGCATTAATTCACTTAAGATAATAGCCTCAAGTGCCATCCATGTTGCTGCAAAGAACATGATTTTGTTCTTTTTCATGGCTGCATAGTATTCCATGGTATATGTATCCCATTTTCTTTATTTAGTCCACCTTACATGGGCACCTAAAGTGGTTCCATAAAATTTCTATTGTGACTAATGCTTTTATGAATGTAAAAGTGCATGCTTTTTAGTAGAACAATTTATTTTCTTTCAGATATGTATCCAGCAATGGAATTGCCAGGTCAATAGTTCTAAGTTGTTTGAGAAATCTCCACACTGCTTTCCACAGTGGCCAAATTAATTTACATTTCCATCGACAGTGTATAAGCATTCCCTATTCTCCACAGGCTCACCAGCATCTGTTAGTTTTTGACTTTTTCTTAATAGTCATTCTGACTGGTGTTAGATAGTATCTCACTGTAGTTTTGCTTTGCATTTCTCCAATGATGAGTGATGTTGAGCATTTTTTTATGTTTATTGGCTGCTTACATGTTGGGGACTCAGGGAAGAGCCAGTGTTCCAGCTCACGTCTGGAAACAGTCTATGGCAGCAGGTCCTCTTGCTCACGAGAGGTACGTCTTTTGTTCCAGTCAGGCATTCGGACGATTAGATGAGACCCACCTGCATGATGGAGGGCCATCTGCTTTATACAAAAATCATCTATTAAGTGTTAATCTCATCCAAAAATGTCCTTACAATAAAAATTAGTAATGTTTGACTACATGTTGTAGGCACTGTAGAACTTCTTTTCTCTAACATCAATTAACTATTTATGAATACATATGAATCAACTATTTATATCAACATATAAATGAACAATCACAGGAGGTTTAAAATTTTGTCTTTTGGGCTCTGATCTAAATTCTTATTCATTAAAAAATTTTACTTACATGGCTACAAAAATAATGCTAATTCTACCTATGTATCTAGGTTTAGATCACTTAGCCCAGTAGCAGCAAGCATGTATGAGTTATCTCCAATCCATTAATAAATAATAATATCTGTCATCCCCAAGTACCTACTATGTGTCAGGCCTTGCACTGAGTGTTTTATACAATAAGCCTACACAGCAGATAATATTGTCTTCATTTCATAGATGAATAAGCAGTTTGAAAATAATTGATTGACCTGCTTAAGAGACAGTTAAGTGGCAGAGATAAAAGTTAAAGTCGACTCTTCTATCATTAAATCTCATACTTTCATACTGTATTACTCTACCTTTCATGTAGCACACACATTATCAGAAACTCATACTCCTTTCTTCGTCTAGGCAATCCACAAGCTGGCCTTGACAACATAGCTAAAAAAGAGCAAGAACATCATATATTTTTATTACAACTTAAAATTAATCAATGGAAAATAAAATGTTTAAAATGTTCAAGAAACTAATTATGCAACAGTCTTTCACTGATCGCTGCAAATAGGATATATTTTAGCATTCTCAGATGGTTCTTATCTAATATGAATAACATCACTGCCAACATTTGTTAAATAATTGTGGATATCCTACATAAGTAGTTGTAGCAAAGGAGAAGAGCAAAACGATTCTCTCTCATGTTGGAAGAAGCACGTCTAATTTAAACTTCCATATAAGCTTGTCAATTTACTGTCTGGCTGGAATTCTATTAAAGCCAAAGCTCTCTATCTGTGCCTCAGCCCCAAGGATCATGTGACAGTTTTCCAGGAACAGAATCTGAGTAATCCTATAATTTATTTGTTCATTTCATCCATTCGTGAAAGGTAACAAGAGCACTAGTCATTTAGGAAAGGATTTACATAGTTTAATTAAATGTGATCGCTGCTTTTCTACCCCAATGTGCTGTTGCAGTGGATAACATCCAGAACACAGGTACTGTTTCCTATCTACCTTAAAGTCTTCAGTCACACATCAGGGAAGAGGAGACTTTAGTTGCATATGAAAAATGACCCTATATTCTACAACAAACAGCATATTCTTGTGTTATCCATCTATTCTGACTGGTAGGTAGAAAAGACACTCCTGGTTACCAACCCAGCAGGTTTTTTCCCCTCTCCTGCTAGTTGAGTCCTCGTATTCCATCGTAAGTCAGGTATAAAACTCTATTTGCCTAGATGAATCACACTAATCCCATTACCTTTTTCACTGGTAGGTTTAGGGAGGGGAATATGACCCAATCCTGGCTCCTGAAATGTAAGAAGTATGCTGAAAGATTTTAGGAGAAGAATTTCTTGTTCTTAAAAAAAAAAAAAAAAAAGCCAGAGCAAGAGATGCTCCCTTCTTTTTCCACTGAATCTCATCATGTTTCACTGAATGAGATGTTTGGAGCAGTGATAATCACCTAGTGACCATGACTAAAAAACTACTTTGAGTAATTGGCACAGTGCTGATGTTAGAGAAAAGAGGTTCTGAGTTATTGATATATAAATAACCAATTAAATAAATAGACCCTGGAACTGTTCCTTCTGTCTCATGTTTGAGATAAAACTGTTTTTTTTGGCCAGGCATGGTGCCTTGCTCCTGTAATTCCAGCATTTAGGGAGGCTGAGGCAGGTGGAAACACGTGTTGTTAGGAGGAGGATGTGTTACAGGAAAGGCAGGCTCATGCCACACTGTGGGACTGCTGCCCAAGAGTGCTATGGGGTGTGTGCAGAATATCAGCCACTAATACCACTACTCCTTCCAATGCACATGTACACACACACACACACACACACACACACACACACACACAGATAAGGAGGAAAATGTACCTTTAAAGTACCTAAATTGTTTGCTCAGTTGGAGCACATGGCTAAAAACATCCACAACCCTGTACGTATTGATTGAAGGTGGGATTGGTAATTGGTGGCAGTCATTAAGAGGACCGCAAAAAGTACAATATGCCCAGAATACCACTTTTATTGAGATTAAAGACTAGGATGGAAGGCCTGGATTTAGGTTGTGAGCCAAGTGGAACTGTTAATACCAAGCCCAAGAATCAGGCAGCTTATCACCATCAGTCCAGTGAGGCTTCCAACATGTGAGAACAAAGGTAAACTCACAGTTTTGGTGGGTTTGTTCACTCCCAAGATCAGAAAAAGGGTTGAGCTGAGCATAGTGCTATAAACTGAGTCATGTTCCCTTAAATTCATATGTGGTAACTCTTATTTTCAATATGATATTTGGGATTTGCAGATGGGTATTTTGGGAGATAATCAGTTTTAGATGAGGTCAGGAGGGTGTCACCCTCATGGCAGAATTAGTGTCTCATAAGAAGAGACACCATAAAGCTTGTTTCTTCTCACTCTCCACCATGTGAGGACACAGGGAGAAAATGACTTTCTACAAGACAGGAAGAGAGCCCTCATCAGGGATTGAATCCTCTGGTACCTAGATCTTGGACTTTCAGCCCCCAGAATTGTCAGAAATAACTGTCGGTCGTTTAAGCCACCCATGCTTTGGTATTTTGTTATAGCAGCATGGGCAGAATAATACACATACCCACTGATTCTTCAAAGACTTACCAAGCGTATAAGGACCTCCCTAATGAGCAAACAGGTGGAGAATAACCAGGCATTATATTATTTTGACCTCTCTTCACAAGAAGAAAACTTTGGGGATGGAAAAGATGTACACGTTATTCAAATTAGTTTTCTTTTCTCTCTCTAGTTGTGAATCTCTTTGGGAGCAAGTAGTAGGTGGGTGAGGGAGCAATGATTCCACGGTTCAGTAATTCTGCTGCAGCTTCCCTCTTGGATGTTGGTTTGTGTGTTCTGCCCTGGAGAAAAGGGACCAGTTGGTAGATGAGAGAGGGTAGTGATATTTTTTGTCCTCCTGCAGAGAAGAAAGGAATGTGAGGAAGGCCTGGGACTCATAAGGTCTAGCTCTTTGATTTAGTACTGAGAGTTGAGGCCCAGAGAGGTGAGTTACAGTATGATGACCCAGGTTGTTCTCCCTGGTATCCCACTGCTAGAAGTCAAAGATGTGGACTCCAATTTTACATAACAGGCTCAGTCTTCAATGATTATCTTTTGAACTCTTTGAACCTGCCAGCTACAGGAGAAAAATTTACTAAGCATGAAATACATTTTGTTCTTTCCACTCTCGTGAGTTTATTACTGAGTGTCCCTTAGCCTTAATTAAAGAATTAATGTGCAGTTTTTGTGTTTGTCTGCAGATTTATATGTGAAAGCACTATCTATTGTTGGCTTAAAACTTGGCTGTATTTCCTAATCAAGCGTTAAGAAAGTTATTCATGTAATATATTCCAAGTTAAGTAGAAAAGAAGGAGAAACACGTTTATGCTTTCAGTTTTAAAAGTTTTGCAAATATCAACCGGATTTTGTGATCATTGCTTATCTCTGCAAAGTAGGCTGAGTTAGTTGAGAGTAGGGGCAGAGAGGAACTTATATTTTTGACTTTATAGACTTAGATCTAAATTTTCTTTGAGTTATGTTGTAGGTGATTTGTTCTTCGGGACCTTTAAAAGACAGGTTTGAATTACTCATTTACTCATCATTCTGTTTTATAAAGTTACTAGTTAAGAAAAGCACTCACCTAAGGAAACGTTTGGCTATGGGAACCAAACAAATCAGGATTTGACTTTCAATTCTGCCTCTTCCTATCTGTAAAAGGTCCTGCAAACATTTCAACTTCTTTGTGCTTCCTCTTTTTTTAAAATAAGGACTTGTGCTGATTAGAAATAACATAGGTATCAAATTTGTTACAAAGCAGACATTAATAAAGTGCTGGCCACATGAGCAGGAGGGAGGTCCTTAACTGCCACATATGAAGGGTATTGGCTATCTCAGTTTGCCCATTGATTCCACTGTAATTGCTGCTAGCACCCTTTTTTTTCATTTTTACAACACTTGAATTGGATGATAGATTACATGGTTACCCTATCATAAGCCATGTTGACAAGTTTGAATTTTATGCCAAAACCTGTGGAGAGATCCTGAGAGAGAAGACTGTGTCCCAGAGGTCATATGGTTTCCAAAATTTTCACCAACTACAGAGGATGCCCACTTGAGTAGTTGAGTGGCATGTTTAAAGAATAGAGGATGGTGCAATCCTAGCAGTAAAAGAAGATAATCAAATGGTCTAAGGGAGCAGTGAGCAATGAATCTGGAGATGGAAGTAGACAGGTATAAAATGAGACCACTCTAGAAATGGGCTTTGAACAGATGCCTTCCTCTTTTCTATTGCTGGTTTGTTTGCCTTTTAAATTTCAGAACTGAGAAGTATAAAATTGTTTAAATATTACCAAGTTCATATTAAATTGGATTATCTAGCTAATATAGTGTTATTATTAGGGACTGGATCACTCACTTGGAAACCACCACCTGATACATTTCAGAGATAAACGTTTAGTAGATGTGCTACTTCTCCTATTTTTACTTGCTGGATGGAATACAAACATCAAAAGATCATATGGGGTGTAGATAAGAGGGCTGGATCATTCCCATGTGCCGAAAAAGACATGGAGGAACATCCCATGTAAAGATTTGCTTAGAGACAGTCTCAGGTGTGGACTTTAGCACATTGTTCTTTCAGAGTATGGAGTGTATCTGAAGTAGTGAATACCCTGTGTGCAAGACGAGCATACATTTATTCATGAAGGAGCAGAGAACCAGATTGGATTCCATTTTCTGTTCCAGTTGTTGTTAATCAGATAATGCATACATATTACCCAGGGAGCTTCTGAAAAGCATACATGCAGAAGCACTACACCAGACCTACTAACTTAGGTTGGATGGGTGGACGGCTAGTGAATCGTGAAAACTTTCCAGGTGAGTCTAATGTATACCCTGGGTTAAGACCTAATGTTCTGGGCCTGTAGTTCTTAAATATTTTCCATGAATGAAGTGGCCTCAAGGCTTGGCAAAATTCAAATTTCTTGGTCCTGTGTCCAGAGTTCCTGATTCAAAAATTTTAATTGGGGCATTTAACCCATTTACACTTAAGGTTATTATCTTAATAGTTGTTAGTACGAAATAGTCTTGATACCTTTTAATGTAAGTTCTATTATTTATTTCTTTTCCCAGATAGTCTTTAATATTCTTAACTGATGCAATTTCCATGTAAATGGTAAAATTACCCTGACAATTTTCCCAATGAAATCTGCTGGGATTTTGGTTGGTATTGCATTGAGTTTATAAATATATTTTAGGATAAAATAATTGAAAATTTTATAATTTTTAGTCTATGAATGTGTGACTTAATGTAATCAACCATTTATTTAGGTTTTATTTATTTTTATTTATTTATTTTTATTGCATTTTAGGTTTTTGGGTACATGTGCAGAACATGCAAGATAGTTGCATAGGTACACACGGGGCAGTGTGATTTGCTGTCTTCCGGTACCCCTTCACCCACATCTAGGATTTCTCCCCATGCTATCCCTCCCCAGCTCCCCCCACCACTGTCCCTCCCCTATTCCCTGCACTAGACCCCAGTGTGTAGTGCTCCCCTTCCTGTGTCCATGTGTTCTCATTGTTCATCACCCACCTATGAGTGAGAATATGCGGTATTTCATTTTCTGTTCTTGTGTCAGTTTGCTGAGAATGATGTTCTCCAGATTCATCCATGTCCCTACAAGGACACCAACGCATAGTTTTTGATGGCTGCATAATATTCCATGGTGTATATGTGCCACATTTTTCCAGTCCAGTCTATCATCGATGGGCATTTGGGTTGGTTCCAGGTCTTTGCTATTGTAAACAGTGCTGCAATGAACATTCGTGTGCACGTGTCCTTATAGTAGAATGATTTATAGTCCTTTGGATATGTACCCAGTAATGGGATTGCTGGGTCAAATGGAATTTCTATTTCTAGGTCCTTGAGATCTCGCCACACTGTCTTCCACAATGATTGAACTAATTTACACTCCCACAGTAGTGTAAAAGTGTTCCTATTTCTCCACATCCTCTCCAGCATCTGCTGTCTCCAGTTTTTTCATGATCGCCATTCTAACTGGCATGAGATGGTATCTCAATGTGGTTTTGATTTGCATCTCTCTAATGACCAGTGATGATGAGCATTTTTTCATATGTTTGTTGGCCTCATGTATGTCTTCTTTTGTAAAGTGTCTGTTCATATCCTTTGCCCATTTTTGGATGGGCTTGTTTGTTTTTTTCTTGTAAATCTGTTTGAGTTCTTTGTAAATTCTGGATATCAGCCCTTTGTCAGATGGGTAAACTGCAAAAATTTTTTCCTATTCTGTTGGTTGCCGATTCACTCTAGTTACTGTTTCTTTTGCCGTGCAGAAGCTGTGGAGTTTGATTAGGTCCCATTTGTCTATCTTGGCTTTTGTTGCCAATGCTTTTGGTGGTTTGGTCATGAAGTCCTTGTCTACTCCTATGTCCTAAATGGTTTTGCCTAGATTTTCTTCTAGGGTTTTTATGGTGCCAGGTCTTATGTTTAAGTCTTTAATCCATCTGGAGTTAATTTTAGTGTAAGGTATCAGGAAGGGGTCCAGTTTCTGCTTTCTGCACGTGGCTAGCCAGTTTTCCCAACACCATTTATTAAACAGGGTATCCTTTCCCCATTGCTTGTTTTTGTCAGGTTTATCAAATATTGTATGGTTGTTGATATGTTGTGTTGCCTCTGATGCCTCTGTTCTGTTCCATTGGTCTATATCTCTGTTTTGATACCAGTACCATGCTGTTTTGATTACTGTAGCCTTGTAGTATAGTTTGAAGTCTGGTAGTGTGATGCCTCCTGCTGTGTTTTTTTGCTTTGAATTGACTTGGCTATGCGGGTTGTCTTTTGGTTCCATATGAAATTCAAGGTGTTTTTTTCCAGTTCTGTGAAGAAAGTCAATGGTAGCTTGATGGGGATAGCATGAGTCTGTAAATTACTTTGGGCAGTATGGCCATTTTGACAATATTGATCCTTCCTAACCAGGAACATTGAATGTTTCTCCATCTGTTTGTGTCCTCTCTTATTTCATTGAGCAGTGGTTTGTAGTTTTCCTTCAAGAGGTCCCTTATGTTTCTTGTAAGTTGTATTCCTAGGTATTTTATTCTCTTTGTAGCAATTGTGAATGGCAGTTCATTCTTGATTTGGCTTTCTTTAAGTCTGTTATTGGTGTATAGGAATGCTTGTGATTTTTGCACATTGATTTTATATCCTGAGACTTTGCTGAAGTTGCTTATCAGTTTCACGAGTTTGTGGGCTGAGATGATGGGACCTTCTAGATATACTATCATGTCATCTGCAAATAGAGACAATTTGGCTTCCTCCTTTCCTATTTGAATACTTTTTATTTCCTTTTCTTGCCTGATTGCTTTGGCTAGAACTTCCAGTACTATATTGAATAGGAGTGGTGAGAGAGGGCATCCTTGTCTAGTGCCAGATTTCAAAGGGAATGCTTCCAGTTTTTGCCCATTCAGTATGATATTGGCTGTTGGTTTGTCATAAATAGCTTTTATTATTTTGAGATATGTTCCATCAATACCGAGTTTATTGAGGGTTTTTAGCATAAAGGGCTGTTGAATTTTGTCAAAGGCTTTCTCTGCATCAATTGAGATAATCATGTGGTTTTCGTTTTTGGTTCTGTTTATGTGGTGAATTACGTTGATAGACTTGCGTATGTTGAACCAGCCTTGCCTCCCTGGGATGAATCCTACTTGATCATGATGGATAAGCTTTTTGATGTGCTGTTGCAATTGGCTTGCCAATATTTTATTGAAGATTTTTGCATCTATGTTCATCATGGATATTGGCCTGAAGTTTCCTTTTCTTCTTGAGTCTCTGCCGGGTTTTGGTATCAGGATGATGTTGGTCTCATAAAATGATTTGGGAGGGATTCCCTCTTTTTGGATTATTTG